GTGCGTGTGTGTGTGCATGCGTGAGAGTGTGAGTCAGACAGGTTGTGTGAACACATGCTAGCGTCTGTGTGAGAATGAATTCATATCTTGATTTGCTTTTCAATTATTAGTGTTATTGATTGTTTTCATTTAGATGGAATTATCTGTCATCACTGTTTTAAAAAGAAGTATGCTGTCTTGAGTTTGATGCACTGTTTAAACTGTTTTCATCATGTACCTCTTTTATTTCTGCTTTATAAGTCAATTTGCAGATGAAACCTGTTGGGTCTTGTTGTTGCTAATGAGTGCACAACTGACGGTTATTGATTTTTTTTTTTTTTTTGGGGTCGAAATTAAATGGTTGTAAAAAAAAAAAAAGTCCTCATGTTTTGTTTGATGCATTAGTGTAATTAAAACTGAAAACATAATTTTGTCAAAATTCCCTCAGGTATAATTTAGTTTAATCCTCCCTCCCTACCATCACTGGCTGTCACTCACACACACGTGCACATGCTCATATGATTAAACAGTGCTGATTACTGATGTTGTAGCTGGATGTGTATGTGCCTGCATGTGTCACGTTGTGGGAGCTTCGGGGCAGAGAGGTGGAGATTGCAGCTGAGACGTGTGCAGAGGTTTTATCTCAGCTTGGCTGTCAAAGAGGACATTTACTGATGGATGGACTCTCTTCAGGTTGAGCTCCTCTGCTGGTTTTCATTCAGGGTCCACTATAAAAGCCCCAACCCCCCTTTTTTACTCCACTTGACCATCCATCCAGATGTGATGTGTGGATTAGAAGCTTTTATCACAGACATTTATTACTGCTATATGGTTTGGCCACATCCCCCAACACTGACATACACAGTTTTATAAGTTATTATGATAAACACACATACATCCCTCTTTATGTCTGCCGTAGCCAGGCTCAGAACTATCACTAAAGAGGTAATGCCCTCTAATATTTCTGTAACTTTTTTATGACACAAAGAGGAGTTTACATTCACACAAATACATGCACATGTTGAGTTTTTAAAGCTGAATATTATAGAAGACTTAGACATATTGTCATTTCCTTTTTTAAATAATTATTGTAGAGTTGGCCCATAATTTGTTGGTGGGTGGGGTTTTGCTGGGTGAATTTGGTCTGACCTCTGTGTCCTGTCTATGGCCCTGGCTGTAACTGTCTTGGATTACACATTTGTTTATAATCTGCACAAGTGGAAAGTGATTAAGTACATTTATTGAAGTACTGCACTTCAGTGTTTCCATTTTCTCCTACTTTACTCGTCTATTTTACTACATTTCAGAGGGGAATATTGTACTTTTTACTCATTTACATTTATTTGACTGTTATAGTTACTAGTTACTTAGCTTACTTAGATTTTAAGATTTTACACATAAAACATTTTTATAAAATATGATAACACTGGTACAGATTAATCTGCTCAGCAGTAAACAAAGTAGGTAGAAACAGCCCTAACAAGACCAGAGAAAACATTAATGCTTCTTAATAATCATAATAATCACCTTATAATTGAATATGTAATTAAATTACTCTGACTGGGGCCAGTCTGCTGCACTTATAATACTTAATATAATACTACTTAATACTTTTGTACTTATATTTCAATATGATTATGAATGCAGGACTTTTATTTGTACATTTTTGAGGCACTTTATCCTTCTACTCCACTACATAATTTAACATCTAAAGTTAATTTGTTTCTTTGCAGAACCTATGATGAGCTTATAAAACACAAAGGTTGGCAGGTAATCTACCCAACAAGTACTTTTACTTTTGATACTTCCAGTACGTTTTACTGCTCATACAGTTTCACTGAAGTCCCATTTTGAATGCTGGACCTTTACTTGTAATGGTGTTTATTAACACAGTAGCTTTTACTTAAGAATACCTCGCTGTTTTTTTTTATTTGTTGAATGACTCTTCCACAGCTGATGATATATTTTTTGTTGGCTAATTTAAAAACCGAAGCCATGTATGTTCTCCTCGTCTACCACCGTGCCTCCTCCTGTGTGTCTCAGGCCTATTTGTTTAAACCCTTGTAGATAAAAATAATGCCGTCGGTTTGAGCGCGGTCGTTTAATTTCCCAACAACAGCACAATTTCACTAATATCCAAGAGACAAGAGGCCAACATTTGCCATTTAAACGGCTTCTTTCATGGTGAATAATCTTTTTCATAGGACGTGATATAAGCTTGCTCTGACGTAAGCGAGATTGTCCGCGTTAGGTGAGTTCTCGCGCAGCCAGCCCTGCTTCCCTCCTCTTCCTCCTCTCGCGCCCCTCCTGCCTGCCTTCGTGAAAAGATACGGTGAAATCGCTCGCGCTCGCTGTCTTCATCACCACCAGCGCCGCCCTGTAGAGAGAGAGAGAGAGGAGAGAGAAGAGAGAGATGAGAGCTCGAGGCCCCCCCTCCCCACCTAACAACAACCCCAACCCCGCAGGCTCGAGCACAACGACCCCACCCCCCAATCCCCTCTGAGAGCGGAGACGGAGCGAGAGAGGCGCATACAGAGTCACGGAGAAAAGACCGTTTCGGGATCCGGCTCTGTTCTGCCCTCAATCCGGGCCTAATGCTGTAGCAGACCGCGCGGGAGGAGAGCTCGAGCGAGAGACAACGCACTGATTGAGAGTCGGTGAGAGGGGACAGGGCGGACCGGAGAGACGACGGGATTGCTCATTCGCCTGGAAACATGGGATGTACACTGAGCGCCGAGGAGCGCGCAGCTCTGGACCGGAGCAAGGCCATCGAGAAAAACCTGAAAGAGGACGGGATGACCGCCGCCAAGGACGTCAAACTGCTTCTGCTCGGTAAGAGAAGAGCCTCTCCGGCCGCGGGGCTGCTGCGCCTCGGCGCGGCGCGGCACG